CATGGAACCCTTATTCTAGTGTTTTCTCCAATAAATTAAACCACTTTGTCTTTGGACAATTCATGTAATGTCTCTGAGTTTTCTCATCTATAAAATGAGTATATGGGCTTAATCGAGAACCCAAAAAGCAGGAATATCTTGATGACAAACATGGACCTAAAATTCAGATTTTGTCTCTGCTGCTTACTGCTTGTATGAATTTGGATGAATTCTATGCCTTCAGTTCCTTATCTTCGTGGGTTTGTTGAGAAAGTTATTTAAGTTAATACATATAGAACACTTAGCACAGTGCCTGATTAACCAGGTTTAGCTGTTGTTTTGCTGCTGTTAATTTTAAGTGCAAATAACAAAATATAGTCTTGGCTAAGTAAGGAGAAACAGTTTATTGAAAGGATATTGGATTATAGCAATTTTGAACTTAGAGAACAAAATTCATGAGTGAGCTTTTAGGAATGAAACCTCCAAACACATCACAGATTTTTATAAGAAAATGTATACACCATTGCAGAATGCTCAACACTAAAGTTTCCACCACTGTGATTTCAGAACCAGAATTTAATTTTATTTTACTGTAAATCCATGGTCATCCCAGTTTTTTCAAGAGAAGTTGGAAAAGCAAGTATCTGTCAATTCAAAATTCTGCAGGAGAAAGAGATTTTGCACAGATTCCCCAAATATATATATAAAAAATTCAGATGATTGGTGGCCAAATAAACTCAGTATTTTCAATTTTCATGCTAAGGCTTATTGCCTAGAATGATCTATTGAAAAAGACTGTCTGCTTTTATTGAAGGTCAAGAAGATGGTAGCCATGATATCTTTAAGACTCCATGACTCTGTTAAGAAGGATTTGAAATATCTGTGACAGGAAGGATTTCCAAATACTCTTGACATGCAAACTGAGTTACCGGGTAGGCTCAACACTCAATATTTAAAATAAAGCCACTGGATTTACAGTTAGAATTGGGTCCTCAATTTTTAATTTACACAGTTGAATTATGTATATGTGATTAATGAGAGAAACAAATTTCTAAGTCTTTGATTGGAAAAGTAAAAGTTCCCAGAGTTTAATAAACATCTTTTCATTTTTAAAAAAATCTGTATTTTCCTTTGAAATATTAATACATTCAGGCTGCTTAGGAGATCACATCCCATAAGAATGATATCAGCCGGGAGGGAAAAGAGCAGTTATAATTGGGCTTTATCTATTTTAAACTCTTCAACTATAAAAATAGGGCCTGCAATACCAGCAAACCAGAACCTGAACTGTCCTTTCTGAGTAACGGACAGCTATTCTAACCCCATGACTAAATCCCAAGGCCTGTCTTAAATAGTTCTGGACTTCTAACTACTGGCACATTCCAACCCACTGGTTGGCTCAGCAAGCACATCTCCTCCACTTCATGAACTTAGAACATCTCTGGAACAGTCAGACTGTTTGCAATACCAAAGACTATTCTTGGAGAATTTTTTTCAAGTGTGTGTAGAAACCACAGAAACACAATTAATAAACTTTCTTAACCATCTTAGCTCATAAACAAATGAATCCTCTTACATCCATAATATGTACAAAATAGGGCTGGGGATATAGTTCAATTGGTATAGTGCTTGCCTTACATGCACTAAGCCCTGGGTTAAATCCCAAGCCTCCTCCCCCCCCCCAAAATATATATATATACACATACATACAAAATACTATATATATATATATATATATATATATATATATATACACACACACACACACACATACAGAAAGAGAGAATAGCTTGGTGACAATTTTAGCAATTATAACAAGAAAGTTGAAGGCAAAATTAGAAATGTCTATCTGTTGGTTGCCTGTTTTCAAACTATCAGATAAAGTGTGTCAAATCAGAAATTCTGAAAGAGCCACTCTACTCTCATGGGACAAGGGCTTGATTTCTTCAACCTAACAGGTAGAAATACTGCCAAATGTATACTAAATTTATTACAATGATCTATTGAATGTTATAGACATCTAAGATACACAGAAATGAACACAAAAGGCATTATCATTAGTCAAGTGGAAAGACATTGCTCAGGCAGAACTGTGATTGGCAATAAATAGGCCTCTCTGGAAGATGTTCTCCCCAAAATTTGGTGTTTTAAGATGATTGAAAATTGGAAAGGATTTTTAAATGCAGCAGAGAGTTTGCTATTTAATAACATGATAAACTTTTTCATAAATAAGGATTATTTTAATGTATGCATGTGTGGTAAGGCTCAGGCTTCCCTATATCAAGGCAGCAACATTAAGTTAATAAACCCAGGCCTACTTCCTAGGTCCAAATCCTGGCTTTTCTACCCTATAACCATGTTAGCTCAGCAAGTTGCTCTATGGAATTCATGCTTTCTGTAAATTAGGGTGAAAAAACATCACTAACCCATGACATTGTTCTGAGAATTAGATCACCATCTAGCATACAATATGTGCTACGTAGGTATTTGTTAGAGAATAAGAAAATCAATGACTAAAACCTTCAATATCTCTACCAATGTCATATTTTTATTGAGAGCACTAAATGCTTAAGTTATTTTTCCTAAAAGCATGAAATACTTAAATTCTTAGATTTGTCAGTGACACCACAGTTTCACTTTCTTACAAGGAGTATTGGGTACTCCTGTAAGAATATAGGGTCAGGAAAAAATTACAAGAATTCTATAGTCAAATTTTTAAGTATTCAGTAAAATGAAAAGTATCCAATTGCCTGAAACAAGAAATATCAAGGCAAGATGGAACATTCATCTATCAATCTTTCATATTATTTAAAGCAAGATGGTTATATTATCAAGAATCTAAAAAGGGTCTCAACCACAGACATCATGTAAATTCTGTGATCCAAACAGCCTTTGTGCAAACTTTACAAAGTAATTAAGAAAGCCAGGTGTGGTTGAGGCAGGAGGATTGCCAGTTCAAAGTCAGCCTGAGCAACTTAGTGAAGCCCTAAGCAATTTAGAGACCCTGTCTCAAAATTAAAAAAAAAAAAAATTTAAAAAGCGTTGGGATGTGGCTCAGTGTTTAAATGTCCCTGAGTTCAATTCCCGGTACTTATTAATAATTAAGAAAGAGTCAAGTTGGTGTAAATGTTTAACAGAGATACTAAAAACTGTTTTACACTAATTTTTTAATTCAATAGATATTTTTTAAAGAGAGAGAGAGAGAGAGAGAGAGAGAGAGAGAGTTTTTTTTTAATATTTATTTTTTTAGTTTTCGGCGGTCACAACACCTTTGTATGTGGTGCTGAGGATCGAACCCGGGCCGCACACTTGCCAGGCAAGTGCGCTACCGCTTGAGCCACATCCCCAGCCCTCAATAGATATTTATTCAGTGAATAAGATCATATTTCAGGGGTCTTGTCACAATTAATAGTTTATCTAATAGGTACTTACAGTAGATTGCTATGTTTAATCCTTATAGCAACCCTCTGAAAATCCCTTTTCCAAATTTCTTAAGGTTTGATATATTTAGAATTTCAGAAATTTTTGTTTTTTTAGAAAGGCAATATGTTGCAATCTCAGAGTGACTTGGGGACACAACAGCTATCACAAAAAACAATGTCTTTAAAAAACTAACATAATTTAAAAGTATAGATAGAAAAATATTTGGAAAAGCAGACTGAAGTTTTTAATAGTAACTACTTCTCATGGGGAATAAAATGATATATTGAGGCATTTTTCTTTTTATTTTATACATTACTATTTTTTTCTCCAACAACATGTATCATCGTATAGCATAAAACATCCTAAAATATTAATTGTGAAGTTAGTAGAATGCTGACATTTGGTCCCTTATATTTTCCTTTTTCCAAAAATCACAATAAAATGTAATGACCTGAGCTCTAACTGTGCCAAAGTGCAAAGTAATTTGTTTATCTTTCACCAGCAAATGAACTATTAAAGATCAATAGCAGTGGATTAGGCCCATACTTTCCTTTGGTCTTTAACCTCTATTAAAACAAAGATAGCACTGCAGAAAAACACCATCATTACTCCTCCCCAAAATAAATTTTAAAAGAAGTAGTAGTAGTTAATTCAGTTTGAGCTGAGAATATCATTATTCACCACATAAAGAGCCAACATTAGTAAAAACTTCTTAGGATCTTATCAGCTTTGAAAATAGATTCAAATCCCTCACTAGCTACCCTCCAAATTAGTCAATGCACCTCTCCAAATGTAAATCTTAAGTTAGGAAGTGACCCAAATCCAAGAAGGCAAAAAAGAATTAATAACTGTTAAGCACATATCACAGTCATATCATGCATATTGATGAATTGTCTCCTCCAACCCAAAGCTGATATTACCTCCATCTTACATATAAGAAAACTGAGGTCTAGAGGAGTTAAGTCATTTGTGAAGGTTCCACACCCAGTGAGCAGTGGAGCCAAGAAGTAATTCCAGGACCTTTGCTACCACCCTACATAGCCATTAATGTTAAATCAGAGTCCTGAATATAGTCAGCTCATTTGGTAATCAGATTTTTGGTGAGTACATAACAATAGGAAAAAATAATAATTCCTTAATTTGTTAAGATATCAATGCTAGATATTCTTGCCATAATAATTTTTAAATGTATTTTTCCAGCACTTTACAATTTTTAACAATGCTTATCTCAAGCAAATCTCTGAACACAAACCATGGTATTATAATTCACATAAAAGAGACTTCAGGGGCTGGGTCGTGGCTCAGCAGTAGAGTGCTCGCCTCGCACATACGGGACCCTGGGTTCGATTCTTAGCACCACATAAAAATAAATAAATGAAATAGAAGTATTGTGTCCAACTGCAACCAAAAAAATTAAATATTTTTTTAAAAAAGAGAGAAACTTTACCTTTTGCCCTCCAACCAGTCAAATATTATTACCTGAGAATGATAAATATGTTCCTTATTGTGAATGATTTTTTAAAATGAAATTAAGGAAATGAAACTAAAGATTTTATTGTTTTCTTCTCTCCTTCATATACATCCCCCTGAATTTGCAGGAAAATGGACAAAGAAAATATGGTGGCCCTCCACCTGGTTGGGATGCTGCACCCCCAGAAAGAGGCTGTGAAATCTTTATTGGAAAACTTCCCCGAGACCTTTTTGAGGATGAACTTATCCCATTATGTGAAAAAGTGAGTCCGAATTTAATATTTAACTCTTCTTATCTTTCAAAAGGAAAATACTACTTACTTTGCATTGCTTTTGCTCATGTCCTTCCTGGTCAGTGAAGGCTTCTCTTCTTTTATTTTTTTTTGTACCGGGATTGAATTCAGGGGTACTCCACCACTGAGCCACATCCCCAGCCCTATTTTGCATTTTATTTAGATACAGCACCTCACTTTTGCTGAGGCTGGCTTTGAACTCATGATCCTCCTGTCTCAGCCTCCTGAGCTGCTGGGATTACAAGTGTGCACTCACACCCTGCTTTGTTTCTCCTCTAATTGCCATTCTTTGACAAAGTTTAAGCCTTTCTAGCCATTAGTGACTATCCCTCCTTGACTCAGCTCTCTGTCCTGTTACTTATAGAAACTATCATTGCTGATGGCGCTCAGATTTATATCTTGTCCCCAATCCGTCCACTGATATGACCATCTGACATCAATGTGTCTATCAAACCAGAAAACTACTACAATAGTCTATCTAAAAATAAGTTATTGCTCCAACTTGACATTTTAATATAATTTTATCAGTGTAGCATTTTCACATAACAACATTGTATATGTTTTTCATAGCTCAAACATACACCTGTACATACTAACTCAGAATAAAAGTTTCTTCTTTCTAAAAGTCTGAATTTCTTATTAATGAAATGAATATCAGTAAGATTAAAACAGGGTTTCTCCATGTCATTATGTAACTATTAAGGCATAAATTTTTCTCAGTTTTGATTCCAAATTATATTTTTTTGTAAACTCAAGATTAAAGGGAAAATACAAAATTAAAATTTATTTTAATAACTTACTAAGAAGCTTTTAGCAGCAACTACATTTCAGGAAAATTTAGTAAATATGAGAATTTAATTTTTCTTATGAATGCCAAAATCAATTGTGTGCGTGTATACACACATACATGTGTGTGTAATTCAACCTCAGATTCAAAATCACACAATCTCAGTTGGCATATAGACAAATTATGAGCACCTAACCCTGTAAGAATTTTATATTCTTAAACTGAAAATGAGCATCTCAAAAATCTGAAACACAGATGAAACATGTTCATGTTTTTACCTAGTAAGAACAGAAGGAAAAAAAAAATGTTCATCACTGAGTACTTTAGTGGGGCAGCGTGAGACTGAGCAGAGGAGCCACCAACCACTAATATGATGGTCTGTGCTCTTCATAACACTTCTCTGCACACATGCCCACACCTATTTGGATCACCCTTGTTACAGCCCCAAGAGAATGAACTTCTGAGTCTGGGTGGCTAGAGAACACTTGGGGTGCAGGAAGGAGTAGAACATGGGCAAGCAGAAGAGCTGTAGCCAGGGGCAGAGTGAATGCTCTTCTGTTATGGAGGTACTAGCCCGATGTCAGCTGTATTGAGATTAGCATTTGCTTTCAGCCCACACACTGAGAAAATCACAGCACTGCCCAGACCATCCTCTGAAACTCACCTGTGTTTATACTGATGTCATGGCAGGGGGAAATACTGCAGCCACATAGTTTAGCAAGATCCCAAATGAGTGTTCCTGGTCTTTGTTTTAAATATCAGTGATAGAGTATGACCAAGTAAAGGTCAAACTATGGAGACCTCAGAAGCTAAATTAGAAGCCATGGACAAATCTTTTAAGAAATTGTACTTCTGATGACAAATGAGGTTTCAGATTCCTAAAACATTGCATAAATCTCCAGATAATAGTGTGATGAAAGGTCATTTTCTCTGTCAAAACATATTTGGTTAACTCAGGCTGAAATGCCACTTGTATATATTTTCTTTATTTAACTTGATTTTTCCCATGAGTCACATAATTAATCTCAACAAAGCATAAAAATATGTAAACCATTCCTCATGAGATGCAAATACCAAACACTGGCAGGAGGCGGAATTCAGAAAACATTAAGTGGGTGTGTATGCGCGCGTGCACACATGTGCACATGTTTATTTAGAAGTACAAGTATATAAATGTGAATTTTCTGTTTCTATTACTTATAGATTGGTAAAATTTATGAAATGAGAATGATGATGGATTTTAATGGCAACAATAGAGGATATGCATTTGTAACATTCTCAAATAAATTGGAAGCCAAGAATGCAATCAAGCAACTTAATAATTATGAAATTAGGTAAGACTGACATCTTCTAAATTAAAATTGCATCAGACAATGCACTTGTATCTATTTTTCTATCAACTTTGTCCAATAGGGCATATGCACAATATAGTCAAGCCAGAAATTAAATGTTAGATCTGTTATTTGGTGAAAATAAATCTGGTTAAATATTTATTTAATATTAATGCTTCATGATATGCCCAACCAAGTTCTGTTGTATGTTCAAAGAAATGAAATTTACTAATTTATCAATTTCATAAGTATGTACTGGGTACTGTTCCAAATACTGGAAATACATAAAGGTACAATTCCTTGTCTTTATAGTAAATAAATATATAAGATTATGTAAAATGGTATGAAAAAAATCAACCAGGGATGTGATATGGTTGTGCAAGGAGTTGGTTAATTTAATTTGGTGCATTTAAGAAAATATTCTCTAGGAAAGCAAATTTTGATCTGAGATTTTAATGAAAAGATGCAGCCCTGACAGGCCCAGAAGAAGATTATTGTAGAAAAGAACAGCAAGTGCAACCTTCCCAAAATGAGAAACTTGATATGTTTGAAGGACAGGAAGAAAGTCCATGCCTCCAGAAAAGAGAGAAAGGATGTTGTAAGCAACACAGTTAGAGAACCTTGCTCTCTGTGATGATGATTTGAATAATATCTAAATAGGAAGGGGAAGTCATAGGAGGATTTTAATGAGATGTATGGTTTTAAAATATTACTCGCGCTGTTGGTTGAAGAACAGATTACAGCAAAGTGAAGACTAAAAGAGAGAAGCGATGCAGAAGGCTCCTACGTAGCCTAGATCTAGACAAGAGATGACCATGAGTGGACAAGGGGTCATTGGTGGAAGTGACCAAAGAGGCTCACATCTGGAATACACTGTGGAGGCTTAGGAGACAGGCCTCCTAGATATTTGATTTAAAGGGAGAGAGCATTCAGAACTCAGTGGAGTCAGGAGAGAGGTAATAGTTGGAGTATAAATTGGGAATCAGCCAAATATAGATAGGAACTACAGGAGAGTTCCAGGATATAATTGATCCTGTGCAACCAATCACCTGTTTTTATAAAATGGAAGCAGCTAACTTTATATAATTGAATGAGTTCTAAAAACTTTACTTGAAGGAAAAACTGTCATAAATTCCTTCTTTAAAAAGGCCCTGAGCCACCTGGGAGGCAGATTAGTATAGCAGTGAAACAGCAACAGCTTTGGGGTCGTCCAGGCTTCACTGGAGAGTGCCAACAAGTAACTTTTTTATCTCTCTGTGCCTCAACTTCCTCACCTATAAAATGGGGATAATATGTGATTCATAGGTTTTATTGTGAGTATATTATGCATGTTTTGCAATGTTTAATCCAGTATTTGGGATTCAGTAGTAAGTCAACAAATGATAAAAAAAATTAGCACAGGTCATCAACTGTTAGGTGCAATTTTTCATATCTATTTCCTTTTTGAAATTCAGATGCACATTAAGATTGATAGACTATTAACTCTGATGAAGGCAGAAAGAAAAGATTTCCCACGTGTATTTTTCTCCCACTTTCAACAAACCAAAATAAGTCATACATTATCTTTATAATTCTCTAGTCAATCAACTACTCAGTCATTTTTCTTGAACTCTTTATCCACAGGAAAAGCAGAGGGATTTGACAACTACTATTGTCCTAGCTATTTCAATACCAAGGTTGGACTTTGGAGCAGAGTTGTTTTCTCTGTTGGAGAAAACAGAAAGGGGGCTTCCTTCCCACACATGCCTTCCTGAACCCAGAAGAGCTTAGTGCAATGTGTAAGGGATTGTTTGAAATAAGAATCAGGAGACCTTAGGTCTAGCTAAGGTTCCTTTGGACAAGTCCTTTGATTTCTTTGAATATCACTTCTATCATTAACATCTGATCTTGGAACACAGAGAATAGCATTCACTAAAGTGCTTTGGAAAGGGCTACACAAAACTATATTAAGATATACCCTAATACTATATAGTGATGCATATGTACACATACAGTATAATACTACATAGCAATTGCAAATTTTGACAGTTATACCCAGGAGAAGATTATTGCAGAAAAGAACAGCAAGTGCTATGCTATGTAGTATTAGAATTTATGTATAGTTTATTTGTAGTATTATAATACTACATAGCCATTGCTATGTAGTATTATATTTTTGTGTAGCCCTTTCCAAAGCACTTTAGTGTATGCTATTCTCTGTGTTGCAAGATCAGGTGTTAATGATAGGAGTGATGTTCAAAGAAATCAAAGGGCTTGTCCAAAGGAACTTTAGCTAGAGTAAGTACATATAGTATACATATGTGTTGCCATATAGTATTATAGTCTACGTATGTATAATATACATATACATTGCTTTAAGTATTATATAGTATATATAGTATTATAAGCATATGTATACTATATATAGCAATATGGTATTATAGTATATTTTTATATAGTATATAACTTAATACTAGAGTTATGTGATGTCAGAGATTAAAGATTCCCAACTCCTTGGTTTTTCATGAAACTTGGACTTACTAATAGTAAGACTTAGTCCCAAAAGGGCTTTTGAGTTGAGATACAAGTGGATTTGGCCAGGTAGGGAATCAATAGAATTTGTTGTATCTACTTAAAACACTGTTACTCACTGGGGCATGTTAATACTTTTGAAAATAGGATATAAAAAATTAATATGATCACTCCACCATGGTCACTGTTAATTAGCAGTATCCTCTGAATTTCAGTGTCTTGCCTGTGAAACGGAGATAAAAATATACCTGCCTCATGGAGTATTATGAAAAATAGATGAGATAATACACATAAATCTCAGCACCTGACACACTTTGGCTGCTCTATAAAAGTCTGCTGATAATTATGATGGTGATGAGAGAGGAAGAGGGAGAAAAAGGAGAAATGTGACAAAGAATTTGGAAAGACAATTAGTACCTAATGTTGCAGTCAAAGTTTCAGTTGGATGCCAGAAGCACGGCAAAGGCACAGAAATACTTTACAAATTTGGGAGTGAGATCAATAGAATATGAAATAGCTGAAGAGTTCCCAGAGCCACCCTCACGACTCCCACTCTGCCTTGGATCTGTCCTGCCAGAGAGAGGACCTTGTATAGCTCTTATCCACATTGTCATACCATCTTCCTCCTCATCAAATATTCACTGAACAGCGTCTAGATGCCAGGCTTTTGGAGACATTAAAGTCGTGCCCTCAGCTTTTGAAAGACGACTCTGTCTCCAAGCAATTCTGGGAAGGTTCCTAATAAACCACATACATTTAAAATTAGGAAACAGAAACTCTAGGCTCCCCCTGCTGGTAACTGATAGCCAGATTAGCCCTCTAAGTATTAAAAACATTTTTATTTCTAATTAAATGTCTTAGAAGAGAAAGGGGTTTTATCTTTTTTTAAAGTTCATTTTTAAAAAAATTAACAATTGGAAGATTACTTTATCAACCTTCCCTCCACTAAGACACCATATTCCTTGGACAAAGCTCAACTTTCTGAGATGAATTTGTCATGGATCTAATATGCGGTCCTTGGTTTTTCAGCAAAGCACAGGAAGCAACTAAGACTGTGGCCCAAACCTGGTCAGAATCCCTGCCATACACCTTAGAGCCACTAGTTCACAGAAAATTAGACCAATCTCCCACTTACCTGGTTGAGAGCTTTTATTCATGGCTAATAAATAGTTTCTGTTAAGGATACTATATCCATTTTTTAAAAAAAATTTTTTTAAAGAGAGAGAGAGAGAGAGAATTTTAATATTTATTTTTTGGTTATCGGCAGACACAACATCTTTGTTTGTATGTGGTGCTGAGGATCGAACCTGGGCCGCACGCATGCCAGGCGAGCGCGCTACCGCTTGAGCCACATCCCCAGCCCAAAAAAATTTATTTATTTATTTTAGTTTTCGGTGGACATAACATCTCTATTTTTTAAATTTTTATGTGGTGCTGAGGATCGAACCCAGTGCCCCGCGCATGCCAGGCGAGTGCATTACCACTTGAGCCACATCCCCAGCCCCCTATATCCATTTTTAATAACTTAAAAATTATATGGCCCAATACACAACACATGGAAACATTAGAAAGTACAAAGTTAAAATAATTCTTCCATAACAGAAGTGCTTAAATATAACCCCTATGTTGACACAATATTGCCTTTCTATATTTTCTATATTTTTTTTACATTTTTAATCAAAATTGCCTTCTCATGTACTTATCTTACAGACTTTTTTTTAACTGAGAATAATATAGTAAACTGACTATTTTAAATCAATAAGTGTTCTTCTATGTTACTACTTTCAATGATTGCACAGCATTTTTGGTAAAAATGTCCATCTCTTTTTTACCAGTGATTCCCAGCCAGGAGCAGTACTGTCACCCTAATGACATTTACAAAGGGGGAAGGCATTTTTGTATGACCTGATGGATGACTACTGGCATTATGTGGACAAGAACCAGGAATGAGAAACATACCATAATGTACAAAGAGAAAACATCTAGTCACAAAGTCAATGATATCTCAATCAAAATGCATTAAATCAGTTTCTTACTATAAAGTATTGCTTACTTCCAATATGGCGGTTACTCTAAATGACAATGAATACCTATGCATAAAAGCTTAGCGTTCCTCTCTATTTACTAAGGGCACACTCCCAGAAGGGGCATTATTTGGTCTAATAATATACACACTTAAGACTTTCGAACGATTTTCCCAAATGTGCTCTGGAATAGTTGAACCCATCTCTCCTCTGACCATAAAGGTAATCTTCACTTTGCTAACAAACAATTTTTCACAGCAAAAGAAACAGTATCTGAGGGCCTAGAGGCCAGTTTCATTCTTTCAAATCTATAATAGCTTCATCAAATCACTTAATTTCTTGGAGTCTCAAGTTCTTCATCTGTAAAATGGAAATAACACCTACTCTGCCCATTTCATAGGCTCCTTTGTATGAGCCAAATAAGCTAATATGTAAAAGATGTTACAGCATAAGGGACCATTTTTAATAGCTATAGTGTTGGAATAGTTTCTCTCTGTGACTGGAAAAGAAATGGAACATGAAGAGTTGTACCCCAAACACCTGCAGGACAAGCAGGGGACATGAGGAATGTGGGGCAGGTGTAGCAGCCTCAGCGTTAGGGGCCAATCAGAGAATGTCATGGACACAACTCATCGATCCACTTCTGGGCTAAAAAAGAATAGATGCTACTCAGTTTTACATCATTTTTCCCCTTTAAAAATTACTGACACATCTCCTGATCTCCCAAAAGAAGCCAAAAACTCCATAAATGGTTTTAACACTATGAAGACCAAATACCTCTCTGGCCCAGGGCCATACATTTACAACCTCCACAGTAAACCTTAACCATCATGTTAAAACAATGATCTTTGTCAATCAAAATGCCTGTTCTTTTGCAGAAATGGGCGTCTCTTAGGGGTCTGTGCCAGTGTGGACAACTGCAGATTGTTTGTTGGGGGAATCCCGAAAACCAAAAAAAGAGAAGAAATCTTATCGGAGATGAAAAAGGTCACCGAGGGAGTCATTGATGTCATCGTCTACCCAAGTGCTGCAGATAAAACCAAAAACCGGGGCTTTGCCTTTGTGGAATATGAAAGTCATCGGGCAGCTGCCATGGCCAGGAGGAAACTGTTACCAGGTTAGCAAACCCCTCCCCAAACACCAGGCTTCTCCTCTCCATCCGGCGGGCCTTAGACTGCTGCCCTGCTCTCTGAGCAAAGAAAGCAGTGATTGCTCTTTCTTGTTTTCTTTTACATCCTTATGTTGTATATTCAACTTTTCATCTTTCTTATTTATTGCATACTTGATTCAGTTCCCTGAAGTTTGCACAGATGGAGTTTGAAAACATTCATTCTGTGCCTTAGGTCTAATTTGCATGCACTGGAGAAGTCTAAAACTTTAAGCTATAGCAATCCTATTAATGAATCTTTAAAGTGAAGAATCTTCTAAAAATTAAATATAACAATCAGTTATTTTGCATATAAATTATGTTTCAGGCTTATTAAAAATAGAATATATTATCCATTATAAAGTAGACGTAATAAAACTGCAAGTAATCTCAATGACAATTAAGTGATGTACTTTTATTATGACTCCCTGATGTCTAATAATTTCGGTCTAAATGAGAGAAAAGAATCCCTTCTTAAAAGGGCACCTTTGTTGGGTATTCCAGTCACAGGGCAGGTCCCCTTCTGGAAAAAACAACAAGTTCCTGAATTTAAGACTCCACCAAGACCCTATTTTAGTCAGATCAACTTAGGGAAAAGTGTTTTAAGATCCTGAGCTCTTCCCACTATTATGTATAGTTATAATGCGCCAATAAAAAAAATGAACCTCAGCTTATTTGAAAATGGAGGGGGATTGGAGTGGGTAATAATATGGGTACAATTAAAGTATGTTATAAGCATGCATGAAAATATCACAAAGCCCCTCGTTTTATACAATATACACAAACAATTTAAAAAGTATCAAACTAAATTAAATTTTAAAATAAAATGTTCAATAAAAAATTACACTGTAAAGTATTAAAGAGAATTTCAAGAGTGACAGAATGGACATGTAAGAATCAACTTTTCTTATGAAAATTATGGGAGAGGACAAAAAACATAACAACAAAAGCATATAGATTTATACTGCCCTGGTACACATTCTCAAAAACAGAACACACCAATTGATTGTAGGATTAGCCTTATAGAAATTTTCAAAATTGGAAGAAAGCTTCTGAGTTAAGAAAAGATGTTTTAATAATATTTTCACAAAGACAACTTAAAGTAAACAAAAAATTAACTCCAAAAACTGCTGAATCTGATGGCAAGGTAGATATCTTTAGTGTTGAGGTTTTTCTTCACCACTTCATTCTTCATTACTTAAACATCAAGTCATTGAATCAAAGGTCCATAGCTGTGGGATCCAAGTGTCTTGGTGACCTGGGCTTATGATTTTGCTATCCTCTTCAGTTTTTCTCTTTTCAACACTAACCTTCCTATTATTCAAAAGTCCCTTGTATTCATCCTGTTATCAGGCCACCAATGTAGTCTAAATACATACATTCCCCACCTTAGATTATTTTTTCAAAGTCTCCCAATTCTCCTCTCTCTCTTTGACACAAACACACTCTGCCTACTCCATCCTGAATATTACCACTAGACTAGTGCTATCCTATCATTCTTTAAACAAATTCTTGCAAAAAGTTAAGATTTAGTCTCTATGAAGAAGCTGACTGAATGGTGTCAGTAACCTGCCAGTTCGTGAATGTTCCCCAACTATTTGCTGCATATAAGAGAAGGAGTAAATTCTGGCCCTGGTATTCAAGGCCCTTCATTCATGTCACCTGTTCTTTACAATCATATTTTTTATTTTCCAACAAAACCTCTCCTTTCTATCAGGACTGATTTTTTCCAACACCACTATGCTCATTTCTGCCTTCTTCAACTCAGCCAACATCCTGATGAACACAGTGTCACTTTTCCTGCCCCTGTTAATCAATTTCACATTCAGGCAGCCATTCATTATCGGTAAAGTCAGATATGCAGAATGAGTTTGGGAGCTTAGGGTCCTAAGTGGGTGAAAGACAGTTTTCAGGGTCCAGACAACCAATGCTCCTGGAAAGTCTGAGCCTCCAGAAAACTTCTACGTCTCTTCAAAGAAAACAGCACATTGACCCCAAAAGCAGCTTCTATATATGTAAGTTCAGCTTACTAGAGGCAAGCAAGACTGAGTAGCTGAGCTTCAAAATTCTCAAGCACCTGGTGAAGGCTTCCAGCCAAGACTCTGCCTTTCCTTTATGGATTCCCTGCCCAGAATCCAACAGTTGAGAGGCTATCTTCTTCTCCCCTTCTACTTCTTATATTAATCACAACAGAAGGTGACCCCCTAAACTACAGCCCTTTGAGATGACCTCAGTTTGGCTTCACTCCACTGGATTTCAGTTGGGCTGCCTTACCAGCAAACCAACAAGATGAGGCCCAATAGGGTATAAGCCAGCCAGAGCAAACGGTTTTACTTCTAGGAAGACCTAAGAACAAAATTGTTACCCAATTCAGAGCCCTCTCCCTGTTACTCTACTGTAGATTCATCAGCAACAAAAGAATTCAGTAATTAGCAACCATATGGGGAGTCTACTTTTAAAGAAAAGAGAGGTATTTAAGAAAAAATTATGAGCACAGATCACATGAATTTTTTTCTTTCTTAATTGTGCAGTCAAACTTATGATCCACTGATAAATTTACCAGCTAATGACATTGGGCACTCACCTTCATGGGATGTAAATAGGAACACTCAACCCACAAATATCTATTAAGCATCCACAACACAGAATGCTCTCTTCTAAATGATATGGGAGATTCTAATAATAAAACAAAACATATAACTGTTGTACTCAAAGAGTAGATATACTGAGGAAATTATACCTATAAGAAAAATAGAAAAAAAAAGAATTTTAAAGGACTATATATTGTTGAATTATTTGAAAGTGATAAACTGGGTCCTTTACCTGCATCATTTTCTTTTGTCTTCACAATAGTAGTTACCTTTATTATACAGATGATGAAAATTATGCTTAGAAAGTATGTTTTCTAGCCAAGATCATTGCTCCAATTTTGAACTTACCTGACTTCAAAGCCGTGTTCTCAAATCACTCTGGCACCCTGCCTTCCACCACAGCCCTTCACGGATGTTTGTTGAAATCATTGCTTCCTGTGTCTGCTCTCATTTCTGTTCCCTTCAGCTTTATGCAGCTCTGTAAGCCCAGGCATGGTTTACATTGGTCTCAGGCTGGGAAGGTGAAAGCAAGAGCAGTGGTACTCAACCTTGGCTGCATGTTAATTAATTGAGGACTGTTTTAAAAGCATGAGGCCCAGACCATGTACAGTAACATCCTAGGACATCCGAGGGTCATCCAGGGACATCCAGGAGTCAGTAATGAGCTGGTATATCTTGAATAGCTGCTCTCAGGAGAAAAACAAGAGCCCTGATTGGTAGCATTTTCCTATTTTCATGCTGTGAACACTCCAATTGTGGCTAATTTCAAGCTACCAGTTTGATGTCAACTGACTCACAAAATTCTAAAATTTTCCTTATCCATTTATCCATCAATAGACACTTAGGTTGATTCCATATTTTGGCTACTGAGAATGATTCTGCAATGAACGTGGGAGTGCATAAGTCTCTTTGACATACTGATTTCATTTCCTTTGGATATCTATCCTGTAGTAGGATTGCAGGATCACATGGGTCACATGAAGTTTCTATTTTATTTTTTCCAGGAACTGCCATACTTTTTTCTGTAACTGCTGTACCAGTTTACACTCACACCAACATTGTACAAGGATTCTCTTTTTTTCTATAGCCTTCCAACATTATCTTTTGTTTTTTAATAATTGCCATTCTACCCAAAGTGAAGTGATATTTCATTGTTTTAGTTTGCATTTTCCTGATGACTAGTGATATTGAGCATATCATATGACTAGTGATATTAAGCCTGTTGCCATTTGTGTTTCTTCTTTTCAGAATGTCTATTTAAGTCTTCTGTCCACTGGTAATTGGGTTATTTGTTTTCTTGCAATTGAGTTATCCCTTAAATATTTTGGACACTAACCCCTTATCGAATGTATGGTTTACAAATATTTTCCCTTTCTTTGCATTATCTGTTGATTATTTTCTTGTTGTGCAGAGCTTTCTAGTTAGATGCAATTCTGTTTGTCTCATTTTGCTTTGTTGACTGTACTTTTGGGGGTCATATTCAAAAAATTATTGTACAGACCAGTGTCAAGAAACTTTTCACCCACTGTTTTCTTCTAGCAGTGTTATAGTTTCAGGTCTTACATTTGAGCCTTGTGTTTGTTTTATTTGTTTGAGTCAATTCTTTTATATAGTCTGAGATGAGGGTTAACACCATTGTTCTGCATGTGGATATTCAGGTTTCCCAGTAGCATTTATTGAAGAGACTGCCTTTTCAGTACTCACTGTGAGTTCTTGGAATCTTTGTCAGAGATCACAAGTGCTTTCCAAGGAATAAAACGATGAATCTGGGTTGAAAATACTTGCCTCCTATGCATCATATTTAAATCCTTACTATTACTAAGGACTCCTGACTTTCTTCTCTCCAACTTTGTATTATTCACAGGGTGGAGCTTATTCCCAAACAATGAATAAAAACAAAGTAGGTAGTCTGCCCCAGGCTCCAGAAGCATCCATCCCTTCCAGGGGAGCAGTGAGCACTGCTTTGAGGGCTACTCTGGGGTTGCTGTATTTTGAGGGTTATAAAACAGAATAAACTTTAAAAAGCGAAAGAAAGGAAGAAAGAAAGAAAGAAATAAAGAACGAACTAGGTTTAGCATCAAATTCAGAACTGAGTCTCACCTTCTTACCACTGTGACAAGGATCTGAAACTCACAGAGGTAAAAGAAATGAACCACAAAAACCAAAGGAGAGAGGTGGTGAGGGGAAATAGGTTTGGGCAGGTTACCAACCCTGAAGCTCCTTTCCTTTTCTGTAAAACTGGGATTCATCCTCTTCCCCACAAGGCTATGGTAAGAAAGAACTGAGAAAGCACATAGAGAAAAATACTTAATAAATGAATACTATAGAAATACAAAAATATATGTAATCCTGGACAGCAACTACACTTTAAGGATAGTCAGATTTCTTGTCATAATTGAGCTGACCCTCAGAGAAATTATGACTTAATCCCATTCTGAGCTAAGGATGTAGCTCAGTGGTAGAACACTTGCCCAACATGTGCATGACCTGGGGCTAAATCCCTAGTAACTGTATTTTTTTAAGAGCAGTTTTCTAACATATTTTTTGATTTTTTGCTAGAATAAATATCTTTATGAATCTGAATTACAGATAGCAATTATACCAAATACCTGTAGTTCTTTCCATTTTTGTGACATGATCCCGAGATGCTGACAGATGGGAAGTTATTGGAAAGTTTGTTAAAATTGAGTAATGAAAAAACTCAGTATGAGTTTTGTTAACTATAGCTTTGTCTCTGTAGTTAACAAAAACTTTGGTAACTCTGAAAACCATTCACTGAATTATAGCTTTCAAAACTATTGATACTCTGGGTTAGTATTCAGTCAGAATTTTTAGTGTTTTAGAATTATTTCCTTGAATTTTCAGGAACAGATCTTAACAGTTTTATGGTGCTGATGCTTAGCTATCTCACATCACTAAATTGTAAAAGTGAGTTAACGCAATATATGTTAATTTTTGCTGTAATGCAAATACTTAAGTTTTAAATTTATAAAATTATACTGTTAAAACTATTTTTAAAATAATCTATTAGTTTAATGTTTTTTAACATAATTCTTATCATAGACTTTTTCATTGCTCTTCATCTCTCTTCTTAATTAGGATTTTAAAAAATTATTTTTCTCTAGATTCCCAAGTTACCCATGTTCTAAAAGAAAATTGGCAGGAAACACAGTAGCTTGGAGCCTTGACCAAGTATAAGGAGTAGAGAACAAACTAAGGGTGAGTGGGTCCCTGGGTCTCACCCACCCTTGCCCAAGTACCATTTGTTAGACATCTCAAATGGTGCCTGGGCCAGATAACAATACAGATTCCAATAGCAGCAGACACATATTCTACTGACCTTTTTAATGTTTCAGGAAACCAAATTCTGTGTCTGAGTTCTCAATCCACTCTTGTCCTTTCTCTCCTTTTTCTTTGTTCCTTTAAACAGCTATCTTTACCCTGTAAGATCTATCTTAAGACCCAAACATGTCTACTGTTTCTATTTCAAACCACAACCTATTTCCTTTTATACTCAATCATTATAATAAACCACTAGTCACACAGAACTTACTTCTAACCAACTCTAAATGGTCTTGCTCATTCAAGACCTCAAGGGTCAGTTCAATTTAAAACAACATCAGCATGAACTGAGATAATGTTGTCCTTATTTCCAAATAATGTACCATACATTTGATCATTTTCCACAGGAAGAATTCAGTTATGGGGACATCCTATTGCAGTAGACTGGGCAGAGCCAGAAGTAGAAGTTGATGAAGACACCATGTCTTCTGTGAAAATCCTGTACGTAAGAAATCTTATGCTGTCCACCTCTGAAGAGATGATTGAAAAGGAATTCAACAATATTAGACCAGGTGGGACGTACATGTAAGGTTACTTTTTCAAAAAATACTTTACAAGCTTATGCTTCAGGTGGCTTCCGATAACTTTAAAGAGAATAGCTTTTTTGAGGTCATTCTCATAATTGAATGTACATTACTCAAGCTACATTTCCATTTTTGGATTAGAGAGTGATACCTATGGTTATACAACATTTAACAATATTATAATCATGTATTTATCTGTGTGAGTAATGAATCCACATTTACTTCACTAAACTAGCAATTCCATGAATATAAGTTCTTTTTTCTCTTGTTATGTCCTCAATCCTCAGACCCTCAGTCTGTGGGCCAGCAACATAATAAGTGTTCGATAAATATTGACTGTGTTATTGAGTTCATGGCCATAACTCTAGGTTTAATGCAGGGTTTCTCAACTTTAGCACTAAGGGAATTTTGGAACAGATGATTCTTGATAGTGGGGATCTGTCCAGAAGATAGTAGGATATATTCAACAGCAGCCCAGGCTCCTCCTAGTATACACCAATAGTGACCTCCATAACAACCAAAAGTATTTCCAGACATTGCAAAATCACCCCCAGTTGAGAACCACTGTTGTAATGGAATACACTTTTGACTTCAGGTGCAAAAGTAAGGCAGTGACAATCTTTGGAAACTGGGTGAAGAGGGAGGAAAAAGAATCAAGGAAAGGTCCCAACAAAAAGGGATAACTAGTTGCTAATTATCTTGTCAATACTTTTTTTTTTTGAGAATTTTAATATTTATTTTTTTAGTTTTTGGCAGACACAACATCTTTGTTTGTATGTGGTGCTCAGGATCGAACCCGGGCCGCACGCATGCCAGGCGAGCGCGTTACCACTTGAGCCACATCCCCAGCCCCAATACTTTTCAATGTTGATTATAAACTACAAGTTTGACTCTCCACCTCTTTCTTCTCAATATGGAAGCTATAACACTGAGACTGGTAAAGCATTTCAATAAACAGTGTAAAAATGAGCATTTGCATAAACTAATACAGAACATCACATCTACAAAATGTTAGTAGATGTTCCTGATAAAAGGGTCCCCTGGTCAAATAAGTTTGTAAACACCAGTTTCTGCAAAATTAAGCAGATTTCTTCATTATGGGACTTAGAGTCATTAGCCTTCTAACATGCTTGAAAGTCCTCAAGAAGAGATGTGTGATACCTCATTTCCCAAACTTTTGGAGCATGGATTCTCTTTTGTGGCAGGCTACCTTGGCGGGTTAGTGTATCATGGGACATATTCTGGGCAATATTGGCTTGTTTTAGCACAGTAATAACATTTTTCCATGACAGAATGTCTAAGTCTCCAGAAAAATACTCTAGAATGTTGACAAGCCTGGGCCACAATGCTACCATGTTAAACTGCCTGAGACTATTCACTGCATATATTCATATTGTCTGTTTCAGATTCTGGGTGCTATTTCGGGCATAATAAAATAATAAGCTGATGATTCACACTGAAGTTAATTAGCAAGGATGTCATTTTTTTCTTTTTAAAGATTCCCCAAAGATTTGTCTTTCTTCAGCCTCAGGAACTCAGTCTTCCCTGATATTTTAGTATTATGGTGTGAGCACATACCAAAACCTACAAATTCATGGCTAATATAGAAAACTTCTAACAACTGGCTGGCATTACAGTGGGCACTTTACATCATGTGTTACTTATTCATCACAGTGACCCAATAATGTATGTTAATGTATTAGTTCCATTATTTTCTAGATAAGAAAACCAGAACCCAGAGTAAAGTAGCTTACCTAGAGTCATACAACCAGTAGGTAGGAGATCCTCAATTTAACAACTCTAGGATCCCATACCCCATCCTTATTCAATTCATTCATGTAACTGTCATTCTTTCAGTATTTTGTAACTTTTAAAAATAAGCAGTGGGAAATGGGGTTGTAGCTCAGCAGTAGAACACTCGCCTAGCATGTGTAAGGCTCTGGGTTCGATCCTCAGTACCACATAAAAATAAATAAATAAAGGTATTGTGTCCAACTACAACTAAAAATAAATATAGTAAATAACTAAATAAACAGTGGGTCTCAATATTCCATTTAAGTACCTACAGGTCCATTCTGTTCCCTTTGAAGACTCTGATATTGGTATAAATGTACCAGATTTAGTCACTCCATAAAAAATGTATATTAAGTTATTTTGTTTTTGCTGTTTCAAGAGTGGTATAATTGATTTACTCATGCATAATCTTAATGCAAATTTTATTTCTATATGAAATGTTCCTCAAAATAGAATTAGTAGATACCTACTTGATTTCCCACCTTTAGATATCATTAAAGCATGGGAGGGAATCTTTAGATATCATTATAGCATGGGAGGAATCTCAGATGTTCTTCAGAAGCAATTTTATTATTTTTTTTTAATTTAAAGAGTATTGGATAAGATATAGAAGATCTAGTTCTAGATCCTGGCTATGTGGAAGATAAACATCACCTATCTTGTCAGAATCATAGTTTCCTAACATATAAGTAAAAATAAGTATAGTAAAAGTAATAAAAAATTAAAATCATTACTAAAGTTTCACTTAGCTCTAAAATTCTATTATATAGTCAAAAGAAATAAGATATTTCAGAGGGATAGCATAAAACTTCAAAAAGGTAATCAACTAAATATGTAAGATGACCAATAGTTGAGTTCAACTCAATTCAATGGCATTTTACCATTGCATATGATATCATCATTTATATAAAATGCAAAGTAAGCTGCCATTTCTTTTTTTTTCTTTTTTTTATTTTTTAATTTTTTATTGTTGGTTGTTCAAAACATTACATAGTTCTTGATATATCATATTTCACCCTTTGATTCAAGTGGGTTATGAGCTCCCATTTTTACCCCATATACAGATTGCAGAATCACATCAGTTACACATCCATTGATTTACATATTGCCATACTAGTGTCTGTTGTGTTCTGCTGCCTTTCCTATCCTCTACTATCCCCCCTCCCCTCCCCTCCCCTCCCCTCTTCTCTCTCTGCCCCCTCTACTGACATTCATTTGTCCCCCTTGTATTATTTTTCCTTTTCCCCTCACTTCCTCTTGTATGTACTTTTGTATAACTCTGAGGGTCTCCTTCCATTTCCATGCAATTTCCCTTCTCTCTCCTTTTCCCTCCCACCTCTCATCCCTGTTTAATGTTAATCTTCTTCTCATGCTCTTCGACCCTACTCTGTTCTTAGTTACTCTCCTTATATCAAAGAAGACATTTGGCATTTGTTTTTTAGGGATTGGTTAGCTTCACTTAGCATAATCTGCTCTAATGCCATCCATTTCCCTGTAAATTCTATGATTTTGTCATTTTTTAATGCAGAGTAATACTCCATTGTCTATAAATGCCACATTTTTTTTATCCATTCATCTATTGAAGGGCATCTAGGTTGGTTCCACAGTCTTGCTATTGTGAATTGTGCTGCTATGAACATCGATGTGTAAGCTGCCATTTCTGCCCTTAAAAATCTTAGGAAGTAGAAAACACGAATCCACAGATAATTATAACAAGTCACACTGCAAGTGTTGTTTTAAACTTACAAACAAAATCTTTGAAATTTGCAGAACTTTAAACCTGGACACACAAGATTCCTAATAAGATCCTTATGTGCACTCTCAGAAGCTAACTGCATCATTTCAATGCTGTCTCAAGTTTGCTAATCGGGCTACTTTCACTCTCTTCTCAGGTGCGGTGGAGAGAGTAAAAAAAATCCGAGACTATGCCTTTGTGCACTTCAGTAACCGAGAAGATGCAGTTGAGGCTATGAAAGCTTTAAACGGGAAGGTAATGTAGGAGAAAGGATAAAATATGTACAGATTCCTGTTCAATAGAGCAACAAGTCCACTGCACTGCATCTTTTCCCATGTCCAACATGGCTTCTGCAGTCCCCTTAAGATGCACAGAAGAAAAATGATAAACATACAGTGGAGGATGGAGATGGAGCTAATATGTCCAGTTCTGCCTCTAATTATTTTTCTGATTTGAACAAATCACTGGCCCACAATTTTCTTAGAAAGAGGGGATTAGACTTAATTACTTTAAGGTGTCTCCCCCCACCCAATTCCAAATTTCTCTCATTATTGTACTTTCTAGCGCAGTATTTTAAGAGCCAACGGTCCCTTTTTTAAAATGTCAAGATATCTGTCATTCTACCCTCAGAGTTTGATCTTCCAATTCTGGATGGCTTAGAATCTCCCACCTTGCCAAGAGTAATATCTGAAGGAAAACAAACATCTATATCCCTACTACTGATTTGTCTGTAGAAACCAACTTAGTATTTACATCAGTCCAATAAACACTAAAACACACTATCTACTAATATCATATGTGATACAAAGAGAATCAAACCAAAAATACTTATCAAAGAGCCAGAATTCTCCTGGAGGAATAAGAGAAACACACAAACACCTATGCAAAGTACAATTAGGTAGAATATCGTAAAAAGAGATAGAAAAGCAGTAAAAAAAAGTTCAAATGAAGAAGTGGGTCATCAAGAACCAGAAAATCTTCATGGACATGAGAAGATAATACAAAGGAGAAGCCTTAGAAATTGGATCTAATTTCAAAAGACAAAATATGGAAAGGAGACTCAGTCTTAGAGGCCAGAATTGGGCATAGCAAGGCAAAATTGGTAAGCAATGTAGTTAAAACATAATGCACTTGGGGCTGTTTTACATTTGAGTCTTGCATCTGTCAGGATACCAAAAGAAAAACATTGTCAAAGGAATTAATTACAGATGTGTGAGTGGGGAGGAGGGAAATTAAAAGAGGTAGTACAGGAACCTGAGGCTCACAGTACTCCTGAAGTCAAAGGCACAAGGGACTGGGGCATTAATAGAAAGCCTGAAAGAAAAAAGAAGTGGGTACAGTTGGTCTTTTCAAAAGGCATAGTGACTTAGGGCCATACCACCTTGAACAGGCTCAATCTTGTCTGAAAGGTGTAATGTCCTTTGGTTAAAGGATACAACCAGTCCAAGGTAGCCTCTTAGAGAGGAATCCAGGAGAATACATGCCCGCAAATCACTGTTGTTTTTCTCTCTACCCACCTATCAATGTTCCTCAGTGGCAAGTCCAGTGATAATAAAGAAGGTCACAATCCCTAGAGAGGAGCCATATAGAGAAGTCTCCCAGAGCAGAGGGCAGGGTAGAGATTGGTGGGGAGTTGATCTAGAGGGAAAAATGGGAGACTTTCCAGCCCAGGTATCTTCAGACAGCCTGAAGCCTTCAAAAATGTTTAAGGCAGTGCATACTGAAAAGCAAAAGGTAATACATATTTAAATACATACCTACATGCCTATGAAACAAACCATTATTTCAAAGTAATAACGAATACATAATATATGTTGACATATTCATTCATATGATATATTCAATGTATGTGACATATTCATGTTATTACATTGAAAACAATTTGTAAGTTAGCTTTTCTCTATTAGGAAATATTTCTGAGTATACATGATGATTGCTGAGAAGCCAAAGCCAACTGTAAATTAAAGTCTAAATAATTATACTGGAATAATTATGGCATAAAAGTATTCAAATTATTGTCAATTTTGCAGCTAGATATTTTCACAGCAGTGTTCTCATATAGAGTTAATTATACTTAATATTATTAGCAAATATAGATCAAATATTATATTTAAGTATAATGTAGCATGAAAAAAAATCAAAAATAAGTTTTCCCAGGACATATGTAGGCTTATTATTTCAACTCTGGGTATTTACATTTCATTTATTAAAGAAGGTGAGACTTTGAAGTTTCTTTGTGAGGTAGAGTAATGATCATATATAATTTGGAGAAATTAACCTAGTAAGAGTTGACTTTTTGAGTGGCAAGAAAGAGATGATGGAAACTAGTTATAAAGCTATTACAATCATCAAAATAAGGGCTTGAACTAAGGTGGAAATGGAATATAATAGAGACCTCTATGCAGAACTCTGGGGGAGTTAATTCAAAGTGTAGTAAATGACTAGAGATGATGAAAAAGGAGAAGTCATTATAAGTTTTCCATAATGACAGACTAGGTGGGTCAGGAAGAAAAGCCTATTTTGGAGAAAAATGTGATGAATTTAGTTTTGAACATGATTACTCACTTATTCTATAAATACTTATGTGTATCTCTGAGGTGATAAAAATTTGGGGGGGCTTGGAGTCTACTGATCAGTAAGACATTGTCCCAACTATTCAAATGTCTAAACTCAACAACTAAAATACTATACTGTGTATAAGATGCTGTTGAAAAGGCAGAGAAATGCAGAACAAAATCTATTACAGTAAGAAATATGACTTGCCAGTGACTATTTCATTCAAAACATTTCCTGATATGGAAGTTCTTATAATCAGAGACCTATTTGAGTACCTCATTTTCTTCAAGACAGAACGAAAGATATAAAGAGTCTTATACTTAAGTCCTTCCCCTTCCTTCAACATTCCAAGTCTCTTCCAATTACATCTATAGCAATATATGATTGTTGAGTATTAGCTGGGTTTTGTCCATTCTGTCTATATTTGACACTAGATCCTACTATTAAAAATTCAGGTAGATACATGAAACTAGGGGAAAGTTGCTGCAGAGGCTAATGAAAATATCAGGATGACTGTGAGGCACAGCTTTGTCCAGCACACTTCAGTAAGCCAGAAACCACTGAGTCACTCATGAAATTGAAGGATAAGGATGTACACTCAGCTGCTATGAACAGAAATTTTTGCAGGAACACTTTCTGTTATTTACATTCTTTGTGTAAATTAGAGACTGGTTGTTTTCTTATTCAAAATAAGCCATGAATGTTTTCTGACAACACTTTGTCCCTTAAACAAGAAAATACATCAATCTATCAAGTATTTGTTGAGAGACATCTTTGTTTCATGGGTAGGCAAACTGTATATAGGAGTAAGTTACACAGAAGACCTACACAGCCATTATCTTCAATATCTGGAGTTGTATGCAGTTTCAGAAACTTGCATTGGAGAAGGGCTACTCCAATAACTCTAGAGAGCATGTTTTAAGCATCTCATGACTGGAGAATTCTCAGTACTGCTCCCATATCCCAATCACGATCCCTGTCAACCCTGTTTATTAGTTCCCAATTGCTCAATGGATCAATTTTTTTTTCACAAGGAAGTATCTGTGGGAGAAAATGCATAGCCTCATAGGTTTCTATTCCTTGAGTTGGGCCTCACCTGAGCCTCTGTTCTTCCCCAGTGAAAATTACCTATTATGTAGTGGCTCTAATGAGCAAGACATTTGGCTCCCTGATAGCTGAAAAGGCCTAGCTAAAGAACCCATAGTAGCTCAGTGTTAACAAGTGATAAGAACTCTTTGTTGTCTTCTTTCACCTTTATTTTATTATGTCATGTAGTAAAAATTATACTTCACCCATAATGAACCTAAAATTTCTGGTAACTATATGACTATATAAATATGTGCTTTAAAATATATATCTCACATAATAGAGATATTACATAATTTTCCATATCATAATTTTTCTATCTCTAGATTTTAAATTCATAACCAATATATCAATGAACAGTAGCCAGTATGCCACTGTCAAACCTGTTGGCACCTTATGCAATTTACCAACAAAACCACTCAGAGAAAATCAAGAGGCATACAAATAAGAATCTATAAAGACACAAGATGTGAATAATTGAATCAGTCAGTAAATATACAGGAAATACTCTAGCACTCAGAAGAAGATATGTTTTTAGGGCTCAGCCGCACTTGATTGTCTTAATATCTTCTTATGTTGCTTTCTCCTTGCTCTCTACGACAGGTGCTGGATGGTTCCCCCATTGAAGTGACCTTAGCCAAACCAGTGGACAAGGACAGTTATGTTAGGTATACCCGAGGCACAGGTGGAAGGGGCACCATGCTTCAAGGAGAGTACACCTACTCTTTGGGCCATGTTTATGATCCCACCACAACCTACCTTGGAGCTCCAGTCTTCTACGCCCCCCAGGCCTATACAGCAATTCCCAGTCTTCATTTCCCAGCCACAAAAGGTCACCTCAGCAACAGGGCCATTATCCGAGCCCCTTCTGTTAGAGGTAACACCAATCATTTCCTGTATTAGAGTAACTCCAGGATTTCAAATGATTTGTAGTGCAATAGCCTTAGACCAATTGGATGTGACCACTGGAAGAAAAGGACTGGGAAAATGCATATTAAAAATCAAATATATCAATAGCTCTCACTTCATAGGAATCTTTTTTTTTTTTCACATTACAACTGGTAATTGAAAAACCTTGATCAGAACTTTGTGTAAATGAAACTAGTGCACAAATTTGATCTTTGCACAGACCCATAAAATTTGAATGAACTAAAACCTAGCTCTACCATCTTGTACTAATTACAAAATTTCCAAAGGCAGGACATGGTCTGAGACAGGAGGATTACAAGTTCAAGGCCAGCATTAGCAGTTTAGCGAGACCCTATCTTAAAATAAAAAATAAAAAGAGCTGGGCGTGGTGGCACATGCCTGTAATCCCAGCAGCTCTGAAGGCTGAGGCAGGAGAATCATGAGTTCAAAACCAGCCTCAGCAAAAGCAAGGGACTAAGCAACCGTCTCTAAATAAAAATACAAAGTAGGGCTGGGGATGTGGCTCAGTGGTCAAGTGCCCCTAATTCAATCCCCAGTACCAAATAAATAAATAAAAAGGGCTGAGGATGTTGCTGTGTAGCAAAGTTCCCCTGGGTTCAATCCACAGTAAAACAACAATAACAACAACAACAACAAACTTCTAAGGCAAAGTAGTATTGTCCAAAATGGAAATTGATTACCTGAAATAACAAAAAACATTTTAAGGCTTTATGTACTTGATGGTGACTGAGTAGCATCATCTTTATCACAAATTACAAATCACCATAAATATAGACTAATAGATTGATGGGATACTCTCATCTGACCTTTCCTAATGAATATACATTATGCCTTCAAAAAGCCAATCACTAAGGAAATCAACTGATTTCTTTAGTGTATGGGAAACTATTAAACTCCAAATAGAAAAACAAACTCAGCCCAACTTCCAGACCACAACAATTTCATGTTTGAATCCTATAAGAATTCCCAATATTCAAGCAGTTTTCTGAGCTCAGTCTGTTCAAGTAATATAGAAGATGAGAAAAACATTTTTCATTTCCAAGCAAGCAATTGGTTTGTCTCTTCCTATAGGATAGATAAGTGTGGTTGTGCTAGAATATGGCTAATGCCAGCAGAATCCCAGTCCTGTTTTCCAAAGGTGACATCAATATTAGCAATAACTACAAACTCTGTATTTAGATCTATTCTTGGGTTCAACTTAGAAGCAAGGAGACACATCCATGTTACTGTGGAGACAAACATATTACTGTTTTACAATTTTTCAGTAGAACTGAATTGAACATTTTAGGACCTCTATCCTTCAACAGGCTTAAAAGTTCTACAATCATAATCATCCCTGCCAAAATTGTAATACAAAAGAAATCATCAGGTCTTCCTACAGAACTTCTATGTTATATGATAATAAATTATGTCATTGAAACATCATACATATATAATCTAAAATATATCATTAAGCAAGCCATATATTAATATAAGTTGTCAACCAGTTGTGATGTAGAAAAAAGACTCTAAGAGAAATATATATGATTTATAAAAAGAAAGGAATCAATGAATAATATTAATGGATGAAGGGTAATCAATTTAGTTTTTTTTTTTACTCTCTTTATGCCACCAAGAGGAAATCAAAGTAACAACATGGCAAAACAAAACTCAAAAGGAATCTATGTATGAAACTCAATGGAAATTTAAGACTCACATTGACAGAATATCAGAAAGAGAATGATGATCTTAAAAACATGTTTTCTCTATATGTTGGTTTTCCATTAAGCCATTAGGGGTAGAATAATTGGGGAAGCTAGAATTCATTTCTGATTTTCTGATCAGTGACAGTCTGTATGCAAGACTGGTTTCAATACAAGTGGTCATATTATGTTGAAATGTTCAATACACACATTTCCAAACTTTAGTCTTCAGAAAAACATTAAGAAAAGGTTAACTGAAGGTGGAAATTGCAAAGTTTCTCTTTATACCAAAGTTGTTAAATTGCTCATGTGCTTATCAAAAGCCCTGATGGTATTAGTTTCAGGTAGTTTATAAAACAGAGATGCCTACGGTGAGCCTTAATTTAGGTTGAGTTTCATCACATTAGATTCCTAGAGTTTTCTACCTATCTTTGAGGTTGTAATCAACGTGAGTTGGGCTAACTTTTCCATTACAGTAAGATTCAGGGTGATTTCCTGGTGGTTTGATTCAGTTTAATGCCTTCTTACATTCCTAGAAATTTACATGAATGTACCTGTAGGGGCTGCGGGAGTGAGAGGACTGGGCGGCCGTGGCTATTTGGCATACACAGGCCTGGGCCGTGGATACCAAGTCAAAGGAGACAAGAGAGAAGACAAACTCTATGATATTTTACCTGGGATGGAGCTCACCCCAATGAATCCTGTAACTTTAAAACCCCAAGGAATTAAACTTGCTCCCCAGGTAGGTAAATTAATTACAGAGAGAGCTTCTTTAAGTTGGGCCAATGATCATCATACACCTATCATCAAATGATTGTGTTTGATCCTTACTTGGGCTATGATTATGTTTTAATAGATAAAGTGGCTAGCCAACATCATGTAATTTGAGGGGATGTGGGGTATTGAGTGTCATTTTCCATTATAAGCTCTTTCATTATTTTTTAATCTTAAATCATCTTCCACTGAAATGCAAAGAATCTAAGAATCTATTAAGAATTGTCACCCAATATATTAAATTGAAATAAAACAAGACAAACACCTTGGCTTAGAATAAATGTCTAAGTGTGTGAGCCAATTCAGTTGGCAAATGAAGAGTACTAAAGGCAGAGTACTAAATAGACCAATCAGGACATCTTTTCTTAGAAATGCTGTGTTTAAGAGAAAGCTATTCCATGATATCTAAGTGAATCTTTAACTATAACGTGCCATCAGTCATATCAAATTGAGTCTTCTACAATGATCATATTTGTGCAGTGGCATTATGGTGAAGTTTTTTTGCAATCATCTAACAGTTCTAACTTTCCGTGTTTCTGTAGGAGGCTGAGGTTTCTCTTAAATGGAAATTGAAAGTTATAAAGTTTGTTTCAGTGTGAAAACTGAATTTCAGGGTTGAAAATAAGACAAAATAGAATCTATGCTAACCCTAGACTGTTCCCTGTGGGTGTGCATTATATGCTGATCTCTCTACACTGTACTTTGGATGAATAACCACAGTTTTAGTTCATCTAAAGTTTCTACTAACTCTATTTAGGCAATTTGGGGGTTTTTTGGGAAGGGAGGCATACCAGGAATTGAACTCAGGGGCACTTGATCACTGAGCCACATCCCCAGCCCCATTTTGTATTTTTAGAGACAGGGTCTCACTGAGTTGCTTAACCCCCTGCTTTTGCTGAACCTGGCTTTGAACTCGTGATCCTCCTCCCTCAGCCTTCCCAGCTGTTGGGATTACATGCATGTACCATTGTACCTAGCAGGCAATTTGTTTTTAAAAGAATGCCTATCAGAGTAACAATCAGCTATTGTTTTTTTTTTTTTTTTAATTGGGTTACTCTTATGAACAGTGCATTGTGTTAAGTGCTGGAGAGAAAAAATGATTATAACCATCAAATTTCATATGGCAATAAAGTGGGATGATACCAACCAACACATGATTGTAGAGAAATCGGGTAGGTGACATGATAAAGATTTCTGAGAAAATACCTCTCTTGAGTCAAAATCCAATTATTAAAAACTTCAAGTACTGGTATTCATGGAAATCATTTAAGAACATCTTAAAAGACAATAATCATAAATTCTGTATAGTATTTCTGAGACCTGCTGTAGCATGAGCAAAGATCTCTGCTTTTTACATCAAAACTCAGGTTAGAAATTGGCCGTGCTTTATATTAATCTGTGAATAACTGTGTGTATCACCTAAAGAAAGGTCTTTAATTAATTTATCTCTGAATATTAGCAGCTATGGTTGAGAAGTTGAAGACCATGTGACCCCTAACAAAAATACCCTGTAGTAGCATTTAGAAACCCTAAGCAGAAGAGCAGAGGCTCCTGTCCTGCATGGTCAGTAGTTAGAGTGGTTACTCTGACTGCATGTTGCTCACCTAGCATAAACAGCAGACTGACTATCCTCCAGCAAGAGCTAATTTATTATTGCTTGGGAACCTCGGAGAATGCTTTGCAGATGACAAGAAATGCTACAAGAGTGTTTTGAAAAAGAGTTAACAGAGAAAATAAGAGCAATCTACAAATTAATAAGCTGGAAAATGTCATGCCACACAGCTAAATTAGTGTTAGAACAAATGAGGTAAGAAGTGCCAAGAGACACATCCTGGGGCACTGCTCTGTCTCAGAGTTATTTTCTCAGACTGGTGCCTGTTTTGCACAGTATACTGATTCTGCTGATCAGGACCTCTCTGGAATGACTTCTGGATGAAGAAATTAAAAAGATTAAGTTTGGTGTAATTACACAAGAAAAAAATGAAAACATGCAAAGGATGAAAAACAAAACAAAACAAATCAAAAAAACAGCTCATCATAAAGGTATCCAAAAGCAATGTGTTGCCAAACATTGCAACTATCAACACTCATCTATCAATGTCATCAATAAATACCAACTCATAAAACTTTTCACCAACTTTTTTTTGAAAATATGCCTTATGACAAATGACATTAAATAAGAATATATTCTTCATTTATCTTCTCTAAACCACTATAAACAGAGGACTTGAGGGTAATAATAAGTAAATGTATCCACACATTGCTGCAAAGAGGGTTTTTTTAAAGATGAAATAAATATATCAAACAAGTCATGAAATTAAGCTCTTAGTAAAAAGTTACAGCTAATGGACTAAACTAAAAGCTTATTAGAGTAAATGGTGTGAAAATTATTCTATGAACTAATAGATATAACATTTTAAATGGAGTTCAAATTGAGTTCAACTTAAATTTTATGAGTCATTAAATCATGCAGCATTTTCTATCTTCTCATATTGGTTTAAACTCTGGAGATCAGAGTTTAAAACCTGTAAACTAGAAAAATAATGCAAATGTGACATTTGAGGGAGAAATAATCTTTTTTGGTTTTTTTTTACTCTTACAGATATTAGAAGAAATTTGTCAGAAAAATAACTGGGGCCAGCCAGTGTACCAGCTGCATTCTGCCATTGGACAAGACCAAAGACAATTATTTTTATTCAAAGTAACTATTCCTGCTCTGGCCAGTCAGAATCCCGCAATGTATGTAAATTTCTCCAAATTCTTAGAATAAGATCCACTTGTAAATTTAATATATTTATTTGATCATTATCTAAACAGTATAAATTCTCAAGTCTATTACCTACTAATTTGTCATTAAATGCAAACATTGAGATGTATAGTTGGGATGTAGGTGCCAGCTATGAGACCTGTATCAAAAAGCCCCAAATTTCCTATAGACAACAAAAACTGTGTAATGTAATCAACCAATGGAGACCAGTAGGTCATGAGAAAGAAATGAAAAACTATAGCCAGTTTTTTTTATCTGTGCTTAGTTTGAACCATATGAAATTGCCATTTTTATGTATAATGTTTGCTCCATCATTTAACGTTTTATTTTTATTTTTTTTTATTCATTTGTTTGTTTATTGGTGCTGGGGATCTGACCCAGGAGCACTTTACACCAAGCTAGAGCTATATCTCCAGCCCTTTTTAATTTTTCATTTTGAGACAGAGTCTCATTAGTTGCTTAGGGTCTCTCTAAGTTACTTCAGCTTCAACCTCCTGTTTCAAAGTCACTGGGACTACAGGCGTGTGCCACCACACCCAGTTTCATCATTTAAAAGTTTTGGACCAAAGACATGACCTCCCTGTTAGTGGATACCACCTTCTGGATTTTATCTCAAGTTTGCATTTATGGATCTACGTTTCACATGTGCTGTAGTAAATTATAAAGTATGCCCCAAGAATGTCACGGACCACTGGCAATTGGGTCAATTCACGTATATCCCTACATGCACATATATTTAGAAGATTTTAATAGCAAAGATTATAAAAAATAACCATACAAAATCCATCATCTAATCATCTTAAAGTTCCAATGGTGACAGCAGATAGCCAATTCGAAAAAATAATAATAATAACTAAGAGTACCTTAGGTTTTCACCTGACCCCAGTATATAAGGTTAAAAATTCCTACTCTGGCTGTGCTTTCCAGCCACCCTTTCACACCTCCGAAGCTAAGTGCCTATGTGGATGAAGCGAAGACATACGCAGCGGAGTACACCCTGCAGACCCTGGGCATCCCCACCGATGGAGGTGACGTGGGGACAACACCTGCTGCTGCTGCTGCTGCTGCTTCTGCTGCTGTTTTCCCAGGTAAGGAAAAATCATGCCAGAGAGTGTTTGGGAAACCCTTCTTGCTATCAAGTGCTCATAGAATTGTTTGTGAACTCCACCTCCAATAGATCCTACTTGCACCATCTGTGAAACAAAAAGGGTCTGCCATTTGAGTGAACCATTCAAGTATGAGACAAGGAAATTGAGCAAGGCAGCAGAGTTGGTTCTCAACTCAGCTCAAATTAAAGCAGCTGCAAAATCTTGAATGAGTCACTCTCTCTGAGTCTGGGATGACATTTTGTTTTCCCTTTTAGTAACAGACTTTGGGACAATCTATTAATAGGGGGTGGTACTGAATGAGACACCCTAATGCTCACAAGCTTTATAATATGACACCACTGGTTTAGGTTAAATCATGATGTCCATTTTACAGATAAAAGAACCCAGGTACTGGATGAAGTAATTGGGCCAATGTCAATTAGATTTTTAGCAATGCTTAAACTCCCTCTCCAATTTTAGTCTTCTATCTACTTTTATTACTTTACTTTCTGGAAAAAGATGCATATATCACATTTTAAAAATCATTTTTAGTAAAAAATTAAATGTGTGTGCATGAAAGACAGAGACTCTTCAATGTGTGAACAATGAGGCCTCAATTTATCATTCTCTAATTTTGGTCCAGGGCATATGCTGATTGCTTAGCATGAATTCTATCAACATGTCCTCAGGAATCATATTTAAAGGACTTCCCACTTTATTATATACTCATGACAAAGGGTAATCATTAAAAATGAAACCTCTAGAGATCAGAAAGGACCAAGCAAGAAAATTTTTCATAGCAGCTAGTTTAACCCTCTACTTTTTAGTAAAAAATTCTATTTCTTTTGAAGAAATTATTGTTCTGTCCTGTCATTGTTTCAGCATGTCCCCCTCCATATGCTCAAATTTGAGAGTTTTTGCAAGACCTAGAATTATACCATTGATTCACTCACATTATAGGTCACGTGTAGGTGGGAGAATTTTATATTCCTCATATCCAGAACACCTGGGGTTCTCTCTTCCTCTCTTTTATTCCTCAAAGACTGTGAATGTCTTCCATTCTGGTACATGTGGCTAAAGCTAATCATGTTTTACACACAAATGTGACCTCGATTCCAGCTTTGTTTCTTTGTAAGAACATGGAGAGGCTCTGTGGTGAGACCCTGTAAGGTTACCAAGGCAACAGCTGCCACTGCAGAGAGCAAGGTCCTCCCTGGGCAGCACTGTCATCAGCCTCTGTGCTGACAGAGTGTTTACCTTTCCTTCTACTCAGGGTTTATGCTAAGGCTTCTCAAGTCTTGGAGAATTGAGCAGAAAGCTGTACCCATAGACAACCAATACACTATAAGAATAAATAAGCCATGTCAAAGGGAATTTTAAAGTTTTCTCAAAGGATTTGCTTTCACCCAAGATTTTTTTTTTAATTTTATCCTCCCTTTTATTTGTTCCAGCAAGAAGTTAAAAATATTTAGGGCATGAGAGTTGTTTTAGGAATGAATACCTAAGAATTTGGTAGCCTGTTATAACTTTACTGTGGAGTCAGGCAAAGAATAATAGACTTCAAGGACAGAATCTAAAACACTAATGCCCTTACAATTAAGAAATTAGCCAATTGGAAATTAGAAAAGAGAAAATCCAACATTTCTAAAGGAAAAATCAGTGCTACACAAACACACTCATACATTTATATTCCTTGCTAACTTTAGAAGCACCATTTCCAAAATAACGAAAGTAATATTGATATTTTTCTCATATCTTTGGGAAATGTACCAAACTTTACATGTGCATTAGCCAGCATTACTAACCAAAGTGTACAACCGAGGTATGAATTTGATCTTTAAAAACATAGTCCAGCTAGCTTCCTGCCAACACTTCCTGAGAAGCCACCAGGGAAAAAAAAAATCAATGTGTCTGGGCTAGGGTAGACTTCCACTGCACATAAACCAACGGGACTTTTAAAATTCTAAATCAGATCCCAACTTGTTCCTTAAGTTCCTCTTTCCCTTTTTTACAATTTGGGGGTCATCTCTGAAACATCCAGGCTTTGCTCTAAAACACTAACAAAGAAATATAGCTCTAGACAGTAACTACTGGGTTTTCTTCTTCAAAAACAAATGTTCATCAGCCAGACATAATATAAACTGAGAGCATGAATGCTTTCTTTATTACTCAAACTCTTTGGTTCCCTGAGAGTGAGGACCAGTATCAAGGCCTCTGAATACATTAAGGACAGGCTTGGTGGATGGGTCCCAAGATAGGGCTTCTGCTGTTTATGGTTAGGTCCAAACGTGGACAGGGTAGACATCTGCTTTTATGGTATTAAGAAGACACACACTAAAACTTTACAGTATTTCCACTACTGATCTAGCCAGTGCCTACACATCCTTCTTGGGAGAAGGCAATGGTTTTTCATGTTTAATTTGGCAGGTATAGGGGTGCAGCAGAACCACCACCATGCCCTGCTGACCCCTCAATGGCCTCTCTTTCTTTAAAATTTCTGAAACACTCTGGAAAAGCTCCACAATGCAGACTTTCATTAACCCAGCATCCTCCTACATTTCTGCTTCCTGGATCTTCTCTCCAGTGTTTCTAATTCCCCAGGTATGAAGTGCTTCTGACCCAGGTGACACGGACAGTTCTTGCTTTGATGATCACTGTTTTAGGGCTTTCCAAATGCCATTTAAAAATCAGTGTGCCCACCTACTGTGTCCCATGAGATCACCTTTTAAAACATACATACTTGCTTTTAACTTTTTTCTTCTTAAATTTAACTTTAAGCCAATGTTAAATATTTTCAAATTCCTAAAGGAGGACAACATGCCCAAAGGGAGCAAATCTGACTGCCTTTCATGAAGTTTTCTCTGCCTCCTTCTCTAGGATATGCTGTCCCCAGTGCAACAGCACCTGTGTCTGCAGCCCAGCTCAAGCAAGCAGTGACCCTTGGACAAGACCTAGGAGCATACACAACCTATGAGGTCTACCCCACTTTTGCAGTGACTGCCCGAGGGGATGGATACGGAACCTTCTGAAGATACCTTTCTTTTAACTTAGGAATAAGAAACACAAACCTCTATATAGGAGAAATAAACTTCTCACTCAGTACCCTAATGATCGTAAGCCATGCCTTTCCTAAAGTAGTTCCTTTCCTAAGACAGTATAACTGGCACTCGTTTATAGAATCATGAAATGTGAATGCTATTCCTAAATGAAATCAAATGTCAAGGAGCCTTTTGTTTAACAGGAAGCTGCAGAGCCATTGACCCCAAATTTATTCTTCCAAGGTTCCTGAGTGTCCTGGAAGTATGTTTACAAATACTGACAGAGTGGGAGAGATCTCTCAGTAGGCAGGTGTGAGGGCTGAGCAAACCTGGGTTGTCAGTAACAACAAGGGGAAGCTGATTAACTTCCAGGTTCTCAATCCCTGGCTCACAGCTGCTTTTGTGATACAAAGAGTCACAAAGAGGCAAAAGGAAGGTAGGAGGTTACTTTGCAAAACACCTTCACCATTGCCCATATCCCAGATCTGAAACTAAGACACTTGTCCAAGATTTTATGGATTCAGCATCACTTCAGTCTGAAAATTCCACCCAATCAAATTTTGTCATAAATCAGAATACTTTTGGCCCCTTCAGTCTCTGGGGACATCCTAGAAACTGATATAACATGTTGCACATACTGTTGAAACAATTCCAGGTTTCTTATTTATTCAACTCTTTAGCCTAAATTATTTTTCTCTAGAACTCCTGCCCTGCCCAGGATGCCATAGTACAAAATCCATACCAATATGAAGTTACTTTCTCATTTTAAAAACTTTTCCTTATCCATACAGAAATGTTTTCATCTTGGATGCAGGGTGTTCATCTCTAATGCAGTAAAAACACTTTACATATCTACAAGATATTTTTTCCTACTCAGCAAAATAGGCTGCAAGGTCATGTCAAAGACAAAAGTGAAGTTTTTTTGGTCTATTGTTTTGTTTTGGTGGTCATTGTCATTTTGTGTTGCTTTGCTCTGCAGTACTGGGGATCAAACACAGGGCCTCCTGCATGCCAGGTAGGCACTCCACACTAACCTGCACCACCAGTCCTGTTTTCAACTCTTTGATTTTTTTTTTTTTTTTTTTTTTTTGTAGCACCCAGACCACCATCTAGTATTCAGAGACAGTTACATAAACTGGGGGAGCCTTGAATTATCTAACTCACAGAATCCTTTCCTTTTATTTTCAATTAAGAGAGGCAGTTTTATCAGACCTGAGTCCTTTTGTCTTGAAATCATTCCAAGATAATTTTATATCCACCACTACTGAATAGACACTGTTTCTTCAGAAGAAACACCCAGCAAGAGTATTATTTGCTCAAATTCCCTGGAGTCTTGGGATTCTTCTCCAAGAATATCTGATGGTGGGGAGGTGATGCCAACCAAGAATGAGGGTACAAAGGAGGCACTTATTTCCTGACATACTTGTAAATGATCACTTTATTCAAAACATAAGTAATCAAAGTCCAGCACCAAATATCTATTACTATTATGCTAGTTTTATCAGAGGTTTAAGGCATAGCATGAGGATTTTCATTTAAAAAAATCTTTTGACCCTTGCAAAATTATAGGACACTCCAAGGAAAACAGAAACACGAAGGTGTCAACAATTTTGTGAGCTCCTTAGGAATTCTGTGGTCCAAAATCAGGCCAGATTCCACTTGAAGTCAGGTAAATTTCAATCACCATTAAAAGTACTTGTAACATTTCAATTTATGAATTCCAATCAGACATCAAAGTCTTCAAAACAACAGCTGAAATTCTGAAAGGTTTTTGTGCTTTCTGTTTCACATCTAGCTTCTCATATTCCCAAGGATAATATTTTCTAAACTTGGCTGCAACTGGAAACACCTGGAGAGCTTTTAAATATGCTAATGCCAAGATCACACCTTATACCAATTACATCAAAATGTCTTAGAGTGGAGGCCTGGCATCCGTATTTTTTAAGAATTCCACAGTGATTTCAGTGTGCAGCTGAGTTTGGGAACTGCTATATTCTTTGAATTTCCACCCCATCTCTTAATTTTTTTTTAAAAAAAATTCACTTTTATTAAATAGAAAAATGCAGGAAAAACTGAGTTAAAACAAATAGCCAAAGCATATTTTTACATATGTTCACCTTGTAAACAGTATGAATTTAAATACAATTCATTTGACTTCGAACTAAGTCTTGAGTCAAACTCTAAAAATGAGAAAGTAAAAATATTCCTCCTAAAGCAATTCTTATATTCAAATTTATACTGCCCCAAAGATCTGCTTTTATTCTCAAAGACAACAATTACAATGACAAGTGTTCTTTGGGGCAAGGCAAATTTCCACTCAGCCTAAATAAGCATTCCAAATTCCAAGAGCAAAAGTTTTGATTTTTCTTAGAATCTTTGAAAATAAATAGCAAAGGGCATTCTGCAAAGTTCAGTCAATGTAAAATAGAAAAACTAATTCAGAGAAATTTTAAATGTATTTCAAATGAAAAGATGATTAGTTACTACAGGAATCTCCTTATGAGAAAAGTCATTATTCTGAATGAGGTTGTCAATGATGTTTTAAAAGATGAAGAGTAGAGATATAAACATTAAAAAAAAAAATACTAAAGTGTCAAGAAAATTACCTGTAGAACACCATATCATTACGTTTGAGGAGAAACACAGGTATACATAACATTTGCCTTCTTAGGACTGATTTTTAGACAAGTGAATAGATATGTTTTTGAGACTTTGAATCTCCTTATAATACATTCATGTGTCTATGCTTGTTTTTATTTTCCCCAAGTTAAGAAATATAGAGCAAATTCTGCTATGATGAGTTTGAAACTCTGGGGAGGAAAATTAGTTTTTTCTAAAAAAACAAGTATAGAACTGGAATTTAATTTTGCATAATGTTCATATTTTTAGATTTAAGAAATTAGCACCTATTTAACACCTCCATACCTTACCCATCATTATTCATTTTTCTACTCTTCCTTGACTGCTTTCTAATTCTCCATAGAAAAACATAAAATTAGTTAGCAAATCAAGTGATAATAATAAAATACCTAAACCAACAATTTAGATACCTAGTATTGAGCTTCTAAATTTTGTCAATGAATATTTATTGATGGTTGAAATCAGTCCAGTGTTACTTAGGAGGAAATGGAACAGCACTGAGATTGGATGTTTGTTTCCTTACCTATAAAAATGTTGCCTCTTCTCAAATTGCTATATTTCTCTCCCTCCCCCACTTAATATATCAAGAAAATCACCTTTGACTGCAATAAAACATAATTCTCCTAGATAACTAGGGTACCCTTCAACCCCAGTATCATGCCGAACTACACTGTGTTTGGGTATCAACACCCAAAATGCTGCTAGAAAACTACCTCATATTATGAAAACCTTGACTTCAAAAAATATCTAACAAAAGAGGACCTATTTGCAAACCACAGTTCCTCAACTTTTTAAAGCGGGGTGGAAGTTAAACTATAGCTATGTATTGTTAATAGCCATGAATTGATCATAGCTATGCAGAAAATTAATTTTTGTTTGGTTTGTTTTTTAAAAATTTCTTCAAGTCTTCTATAAGACTTCTATAAGATTAGTAAAATGCTATATCAATTTAATTTTTAATTTATATTAATTTTCAGTATACTATTTAGTATATTTTCATATGTTTCAGAGAATTTTCAATAAGTGTATTTTCAGTAAGGGGAGTCCTAGTCTCCCCTTACTCTGCTGGGACACAAAACCTGAATTCCACCTTGATTTGGCAGAGCTTGGCCAGATTGTCAGGGGACAAGATGAAAGCTGGCCCTTGGGAATGCTTGCCCAACCTGTCAAGATCCACAGGGTTTCAGAACATTTGCCAGTTCCTTTTTTTCCTTAAACCAAGCTACTTACATCCCAAATCAGAGAGAACTTCCTATGTAAATCTATACCTTAAAAATATTTTTGCCTTTCCCCCCTTTTTCCATTTCACAAATTTGTTTAAACACTAATTTCCTTGCAGTAACTTCACTAATACAGCTGCTTAACAAATATTTTTCACCAAAAAAAAAAAAAACTTTACATAATTCCACACACAGTTTCTATTATTTTTAATCTAAAATAACACTGACGGGTTAGTTTCCCCTTTTATAGAATTTTTACTCTTCCTTTATTCTCATTACTAATATTGGGAATTATTAATAAAGAATAGCTAAATTGCTATTAACCCACCAACTTACTCTTCATAGGTTGTGTGATCAGTCTGTGCTTACTATGTACCTACTCTTATCCCAGAAACTGTGAAAACCAATACATACATTTCTCATTTTTCTCCTCAATGGGGCACACAGTCCAGTGGTCCATTCTGCATTTTTTCAAAGCTGAATACAAATACATCAGCTGGTAGATTTTACCACTTGGTCAGAATCCCAAAAATAAATCAGCTCTATTCTAAAACTTAAGTTTCCACTATTATCGCCAAACACTGAGTTAGTTGGTAGAGTCTTTTTGAAAGATGAAGTTAATGTTTGACCTATTATTGTTTAAGCAAAATAAATTTTAAAATATATTCTGTGAAAAAAATATAAAGAATTATGCCAAAGCAGAAGAAGATTAGAGATTCAGAAGACACTTTAAAACTTGAAATTAAAAAATTCATATATTGACTTAAGTAAATGAGAAACATGGTACTCATTTATTAACATAACACTTGGGTCATTAACTATTTCTGTTTTCTAGATGTGCTTGTGTTTACAAAATTCAAAACTCTATTTAACAAGCCATAGCCCGACCTATATTTTTGTCAATGAATGATTTGCAATGAATATACAAACTTTTTTTTTCTTTTTACAAATGTATAATACTACTTTTAAATTTGGCATTTTCCACTATAATTCCTAGCACATCTTTGAGCTCCCAGACTGCAAATGTATCTATTTAAATCAATCATCACTTTCACTGATATAAATAGTTCATGTAATCATTGGCATTTTTGTTTTCCTAATCCTTCATGGAACTGTTGTTTCTTCATTTTTCTGACTGCACTATAGCCAAATATTGTTATCCCTTATCTCTTGATGAAAAGCAAGCTCTCACTGAAATGCATTTCTAATTTCCACATGTTAAACAATCTCTTGCTTCTCTTCCTTATTGTTATTGTTTTTGTTTATGTGAAGTTAACTAAGGTACCAAAAGAAAGATAGAAACAGTATTAAAGAGTGTGCATAAAGCACTTGTATTTGTACTTTGAGTACAATGTTTTATAGAAACCTATTATCTATCTATCTAAATTAAATAAAATTGTACAAGTTGCTTATTGGGAAAATAATTGTTGGTTTGAAAGATATGAACATATTGTGCACCTTAGAATTATAAATCATATGAAATGAGAAACAATGCAATAGTGTGTAATTCTGGGAGAGTGAAGTGGTTTTTAATTGAATTTTACAGTACCATTATAAACTTTAAAAAATTATCAACATAACTTGCTGTCTGATTTCTTCTTTTCTGAAAACTCAAGTTTTACTTTTTCTTTTGAGTAAATATCTTACTGTTAATCCGCAATTGTGATGTGTTTCTGATGATTTTTTTTACATTCCCATTTTTATAAAAATTCTGATGCATCTTCTGAGAGTAAATGTGACTTTTAGGAATTAATTGTATTGTTTTCTAATCAATAAATAAAACCAGAGAAACGTTCAGAAGAGAAAACAGGACTCCAAAAAGGTATGTGTGCTTTGAAGTTGACATTTTCCTGAGGGCATCTGCTAAACCCTACTGGATAGGAATGGGATCAGCTAAATGTCCCTCCAGGACCAACCAGTTGTATTGACCCCTGAGCTAAAAATGGCTGTTGTGTTTGTAAAGGACTTAGCTAAGAATATTTTTTACATTTTTAAAAGGTTATTTTAAAGGGCGGGTAATGATTCAGGGCTGCATAACAATATATGGTCTGCAAAGCCAAACATATTTATTATCTGGCTTCTTACAGCAAAGTTTGCCAACCCTACACTAAGCAAATGGTGTATATTTTAGGTTCTGTCACAAGTAGCACCTCACTTCCAGGTACTAAATTCTGAGTTATCTAGGATTAGGTTTGGCTGGCAATGACAGTATCCCCAAATAGCAGTAGTTTAATTAAGAGACCACTTATTGTTTCTTGCCCCAACAATAAGCCCCAAAAGGCAGTCCAATGCTGATATTGTGCTCACAGTGTTTAGACCTGGGCTCCTTCTTGTTGCTTAATTAACAAGATTCTAACTTATGGTCTAAGATCTACCTTTCAAGTAGAAGGTTGGAAGAGGGATACAGAAAAGGAAGGGACACCCACTAACTTTCCTTTAAGGAAGTTACCAGAAGCTGCCACACAATACTGTGGTTTATATCTACACAATACTGTGGTTTATATCCCATTGGCCAGAATTTAGGAATATCACCACACCTAGCTGCAAAAAAAGGATGGGAAATGTAGTCTTTTATCTAGACAACCCTAAAAAGTATTGTACTATGAAAAGAATGAAAGAATGAATATTGAGGGAAAACTAGCAGAATCTGCCACAAATTTTACATCACAGATAGGATGTAAAGATTAAGTAAGGGACATGAAACCATTCGATCCTGGACTTGGCACAGAGCAGGCACTTCCTCTCGTCCTGGCTTCAGCAACTAAAAGGAAACTGCTTATTTTCATTAGTATCCTGAATATTGATACCTATTGAAAGTACAACTGTGGGGACATCCTTGGATTAATACTGTTGCATAATCTCCTCCCCTTGAGTTCAGGCTCAATCTAGTACTTGATTTTAATGAAGAGAATATGGAAAAAATTATAGAATATCACTTCCCAAGTTAGGTTATAAAAGAGATTGATTTCCATCTTGCTGGCCCTTCCTCACTATGAGGAAACAAGCTGCCATGTTGTAAGCTCTGCAGTGGAAAGGATCTCAGAGGCAAGGAATTAAAAGCAGCCTACAGCCAAGATCTTGGCGAAGTGAATCCTGCCAACAACATGTGATTTAGTTTAGAAGCTGATCCCTCCTCATTTGAGTCTTGAGAGGATGGCAGGCCAGGCTGTGTTATGTGCAACTGATGAGAGACTCAGAAGCAGACCCAGAGCTAGCTACCCGGGTTCCTGCCTCATAGAAACTGTGAGGTCATACATGTTATTGTGAGTTGCTAAGTTTCAGAAAAATTTATTATGAAACAATAGACAACTGATAGAACAGTAAAAAGTTATAAAATTACAATGCATTCCAAATGTTTGTATAATCTGAGAGTCACAGCAGTAGAGAACTAATACAAGAATAAAACTTGTAAATTTACAGTGATTCAAATGTGCTAATCATCTGAGAGTCACTGAGCTGTTAGGCAAAATCACAGGAACCAACTCAATTTTGAGGTTATGATTAACTATTGCTAACATCAACTGTGGGAGCACATGCCCAGGGCCAGAGAGGATAAAAGCTAAGAAAATTGAACATGCCTGATACACAATAGGTGCTGGAAAGTGTGGTGAGTGAGAGAAAGAAAGGAAGGGAGGGTATGGGGGAAGGGGGAAATGCAGAGGGAGGAAGGAGAAGTACAGAAAGAGTAGAAAGGAAGTGAAGGAAGATTGGAGGGGAGGGGAGAGGAGAATCTGGGCTTGTGAGAACCTGGATGATACTAAGTACCTGCAAGAGGGTAAGGCCCTATTGCTCCTATATCTCAAACAACATCAGTGTTATGATAGGAACCATCTTAGATCCAGAAATTTTTCACTAGGAAAAAAAAATCCAAATCTGAAATTTTACAAGGACATCAAATATACTCTGAGGCAAGAGACCAGGATTCCTACTCCAGTTCTGCCACTTGCTGGCTGTTCTTAATATCTGACTAAGACTCTCAGATGTTAATAATAGAAAATAGCAATTAAAACGCATGCTGACAAGGCAGACAGGTCAATATTGTTCAAGTGGCACAGACTCAACATAGTATTACCACAATGCCTACTTCCTTGCCTCTTCTCAAATTTTCTATTCCCTTTGTATGCTCCTAAAAAGAAGCAATATGATGAAACACACCAGGGAAAGGAAATATCTGACCCACAAGCAGCCTCTCCCCTTCTCCCACCCTTGGCAGACATTGATATGTGACTCCATTAGTCTTCTACTGATCTTCCTTGTGGTTTCAAAATCCCATCGAATCCAGGGCTCCAGATGGATACCACTAATCGATCTTCATAGCTATGAAGGACAGCACCATAAATCTCTGGCTTCCTTATTACAGCACATCCAGAAAACGGAAGTGATTATTAGCAAAACCACTTAGAGACAGCTTATTTTAGAAAGTAAAACCTTTCCACAGCTAATAATCAATGTATTTGTATACTGTATCAACTACCGATGTCTTAGCTCATTTGGCTAGATAAATATTTTAGATATTTACTCATTTCCATTCTCACTGTATTTACCCCCTTTTTCAGCAGGTCCATCTGTCTATTATTACTTTGATTAAAGGTACTTAGCCAAATATAAGATTTTCTGAAAGCTTTTCTAGCTGTAATTTTCCAAAAACTTTAGTAGTTCAAAGAATTTATAGGGTTTTTTGTTTGTTTGTTTGTTTGTTTGTTTGTTTTGAGGAATCAAGAGTGCGAGAAAGTAAAATTCCCAGTACAGACAAAGTATTGTGGAGAAGGAAGGGGAACAAAGTGTGCCCTTATCCCCAAAATAGAATGGGGATAGGGAGAGAGAGAGAGAGAACAAAGAGCCTGAAGAACTAGGAGCCTGGGGAATTTAGATCCTGATTCCAAGCAGCACCAACCAAAGGTGACAAGATCTCAAAGAATAGCATTAGTGGGAGTTCCCACAGCTTTGACTTCATGTCCATGACCAGAACACAGTAGGGACTTCTAAGGGAGTATAAAGAGGGTTATCAGGACAGAGACATTGGCCTTCTCAGAGGTTATCTCCATGACCTAACAATAAGGATCAGATTTTCCATTTCCACTCCTGTGTCTTGGCACTGGGAAGGATACCAAAGTTTGTAGCACAACCTCAGAGATGAGAACCTGAATCTTAGAAATGAATCTTAGAAATGTTTATTTTTATCCTTCCCATAGGTGGGATCACATACTATAGTGAAACAGCCATATCAATATTTATAGCAAAACAATCCACAATAGCTAAGCTCTGGAACAATCTAGATGTCCATGTTCAACAGATGAATGAATAAAGACATTGTGGTATAGATACACATGGATCATTACTCAGCCATAAAGAAGAATGAATTTATGACATTTGCAGGTTTATGGATGGATTTGGAGACTATCATCCTAAGTGAATAAACCAGTCCCCCCCCCCACACACACACCAAAAAAAGAAAAAAGTCGAGTGTTATCTCTAATATTTGGATGCTAACACACAAGGGTGGTAGTGGGGGAGAATAGAAATTCAGTGGATTAGACAAAGGAGAATGAAGGGAAGGGAGGACGGATAGGGACAGGAATGACAGTGGAATGAATCTGACATAACTTTCCAATGTACATATATGAATATACCACAGTGAATTTCAATGTCCTGTACATCCACAAGACTGGGATCCTAATTAGAATAAGATATATTTCATGCTTGTATAAATATATCATAATAAATTCTACTGTCATGTACAACTAAAAAGAAAAAAAAAATCAGGTTGATCAATAGAAAAACAGGGATTTTTTTTTCTTTCAAGCTTGTGTTTGGGAACTGAGACCAGCTTTTCTAGCATTCCAAGTGCACCTCAACAGGCTCCCGCTGGCCTTTTCAATCCCCTGCTGCCTTCCAGAGCAGCACAAGCACTAGCTCTTGAGCCAATCAAAACTGAGTTTGATGTGCCAGTTACTATTTGATCTTAGGAAAATTACTTAAAGTCCCAGTTCTGTTTCCCGATCTTTTTAAAGGGAAATTATAATGTGTCCCCCACAGGGTTACTATGAGGAATTGAGATTGTGTACATTAAAATACTCATCCTGATGCCTGGCATGGTATATGTCAAATAAATAAATATAATTACTATTACACAAATCTACAAATGAAATCTAGTAGTGACCTGATAGAAATTTTCAGATTCTTTCCTCTATGGAACAAGTAAAACTCAGACTCCCTTCCAGTGCTATCTAAACGGAGGTAAACTAATCATAGCTTATCTTTCCCACTGATTACAACAAACAACTCTAGCAGGCAGATTAGGGTGGAAAGTCAAAGCATGATTTATCCACAACTGAAGTGAGTTTCCTGGGGATTTTCCTCCTTTATCTCCTTGGAATTTAACCGGAGGGTGACCTAAGTCATGGAACTGTGCAGCAGATACAAACACTAGAACTCTAAGAGAAAGTCCTCCTTCTAGCTTTCCCAAGGAGCTCCTGAGAACCAGACACTATAAAGGAGAAGGAATCCATGGTGGGAGAAACCAAAAATAAATAGCACATACAGGATTATTCCATTTTATAAATTTCTGGAAAATGCAAACCAACTATCCAGTAGTGACAGAAAGCAGATCAGTAGCTGCCTGGGGTTGTGAAAGGCAGCAAGATTATAAAAGAATACCCA